GAAAAAAAGACAAAAAAAAAAAAAAAAAAGCAAAATGTTTTTTTCCGCTTAGGAATAAAATGTACTTAAAAATAACTTATTTCTCAAATTCCTTTGTTTTAATATGTAAATATTTATGGGCAAAACAAAGCTAACTCAATCAGCTACTTTTAATGCAGTCTTGAGTTGTGTCCTGCTGTCCTAGAGCTCTAGTCTGAAGGCCATCCCCTGCCCCATACCAGGAGGTGGCGTTTTCAGTGGCCACAGTGACTTGTTGCCTGCACTGGCATTTACTGATCAAGGGTCTGATGTCCTGCTAAACAACATCAGGTGGAAGACTGTCCTACCCCAGATGCTCATAGCCAACAGCCAGCTTGTGTGCTCTGTATAGTCACCTGAGTTTTGTGATTGGTAACATTCTTGTATTACCACTGAGTGGACTTGGATAAGTCTGACATTTAAAATTTTATGCTCTTCCCTCTCCTCCACTTTGTAAACCTGGAAATAACCTCATTCAGAGAGTTTCCAGTTGGTAAAAGAAACTTGGTCAAACATTTACTAGCTACATGCAGCAAGGCTGTTTTATAAACTAAAAGGTGATTGTTACTGTTCATTTTGGAAACCCAGTCTTCCAAATTTCAGGTAATTTCTGTTATGCTTTTTAAATATTAGCCATTAAATTCAGATCCTGGAGATTTCTCCAGCTTTTTCCTGAATGTTTTCCTTCTGTATTTAATGTTACTTGTAATACTGTAATCTTTAAATCTCTTAATGCTTTTACCTTAAATATTACCACTACCTTCATATAAAATGTTTTTTTTAGTTCAGAATTATACTCTTTCTCCCTCTTATAAGGCAGAATATCATTATAATAAATTATAATTTTTCTTTTTATCTATTAGATATATGCTTAAAGGAGGTAACGTCAATGGCCGACAGTCTGTATAATATTCGGCTTCTGAGAGAATTCTCCAATGAATATCTTAATAAGTGTTTTTATCTCACCTTGGAAGATATGCTGTATGCTCCCTTAGTGTTAAAGGTAATAATGAATTATTAAACACACCCTTTTAAAACTGTGTATTAATAAGCTAGTTATTGTGTCCTTGTTTTTTGTTTTTGTTTTTTCTTTCAGCCGAATGTTATGGTTTTTATTGCTGAGCTCTTTTGGTGGTTTGAAAATGTCAAACCAGATTTTGTTCAGCCAAGGGATGTTCAGGAGCTGAAAGATGGTGAGTGACAAACTTTCCATGCATTGATAGTGATTTCTTTGAGAGATTCCAAATACAGTATTCAGAAAGTGTCCTTTCTGAATAACCAATTGGTTCCTCCTTTTTTGTATAACAGTGGTTTTTATAGTTAAATAGTTTCTTTTGGAAAAGCAGAGACCTGTGTCATAACATTCGTTTGTCGTATTGATCCTTTCCATCGTGGTCCACATCAGTTACTGGAAGAGAGCTTTCAGACTGTGCGGCCCTGGGCCCGCCTTCCCCTGCAGACTCAGAATCCAAGGGACAGGCCTGAGTAATTTGGAGAAAAGCTTCCAGGCGATGCTGGTTGGGAAGTATAACTATTCCATGGTGGCTGTTCTCATGCTCCAGATTTATTACTTTTTCCCCTTAAAGTAAGGGAGAAAAAAATCTGTTTACCACAGAGTAAAATAATCTGCCAGCATTGACAATCAGGGAGGCTTTAAGAAGATAACGTAGGAGAATGTCTTCATGACCATGGGTTAGGAAATGATATTCTTATAAAGAATACAAAAATATCAGCCACAAAGGAAGAGATTGATAATTCAGCTGCATTAAAATTAAGACTGGGAGAGTGCAGTGCTGATGACACCAAGGTCAAGGGTTTGAATCCCTGTACCTGCTCGCTGCCACTCCCCACAAAATAAATAAAATAAAATTAAGACTTTCTCCCCCTCCGAAAGATACTTGCAGCATATACAACAGATAAATAACTAGTATCCAGAATATATAAAGAGGTTATTCATATCAGTTAGAAAAGAAAAAAGAAAAATCAATAGAAAAATGAGCAAAAACCTGAATAGGTACTTCATGAAAGTGGGACTCCAGAAGCCCAGTAAACTTAGGAAAAGATGCTCAGCCTCAGTATTCAGGGGCAAATTAGAATAAGTGATGCACATATATACACCCACCAGCTTAGCAAAGCAACTGGTCAGTCTCAGGTGTTAAGGAAGGTGACGGGCAGTGGGACTCTCATCACTGCTGGTGAGAGTGTACAGTGGAGTGACCTTGGTGGGAAGTGTTTGGTGTTACCCCGTGTTGTGGTTTGCCTACTCTGTGGCCTAGCACACCCGAACCTATTGTGTGTGCCCCAGGGAGCGTTGGCACTTGTGCCTCAGGGGACAGGGAAGAAATGTGCAGAGCATCTGTGCTTGTAGCAAGTAGCTGAAAGGAAGCTCCCAAATGTGCACCTACAGTCAGGAGGATAGATTGTGGTGTCTTACAGTGGCATGCTATACAACACTGGAAGTGTATGAGCTACAGCTACAGGGAAAAATCTTGTAGTAGTGAAGACACAAAATAACATGTACAGGATGAATTTATTCATATAAAGCTGAAAAGCATGCCGAACTCTACGGTGTTAAGGTCTACATATGTTTTTTGTGATTTCTATGTATATATTGTGTTTTACAATAAGGAGATAGACAAAAAGTTCAGAAGACTGCCAGTTTACCTTGCATTTAAATGTTCTCAGACAGATCACCTCAGCTCCTCACAGATGGCCTTGAACTGATTTTTCATCCCCAGACTTAACTTTCCTTCCTAGCTCTTCTTCCATGGACACCTATTCCATCTTCTAGCCAGAAATACTGTAGTCACTATCAACCCCCTTTCCTTCATTTTAGTTCAGGTTAGCTCTAGTCGGGGCTATTGCTAACGACTGTTTTTACAGTCATTTGCAGTCTGCCTGCTTTTGTGATAGAATATGCTTTCATTGTTATACACCTTCATTAATGCCGTGGCCTCCTCGCAGCTCTGTCTACTCTGGCCTCTCCTTTCTACCCTTGTCATGATTCTCCCTAGCTCTAGAACCTGTGAGACCTCCCATTGCTTAAGAGGTGGTTCGGCCTGTTGTACCCAGTGGAAAAGGTCTCTTCCAATAGGCCCATCACAAATCCCGGCTGGTGTGCTCTCCTTTTGCGGGGCTCTTGGAGGTCGTGCTACAGACGTCCAGCTGGGGTTCTCGCCGGGTCCTCTGACTCGCTCTGTTACGTGGATTCACGCAGCAGGTGCTGGGTGTGAGGTGCTGCGGTGGGCTGGCTGCATGTGCAAATGTGTAACGCAGCTTGGTTGACGTAGCTGTGAAGCGGTGTTGTGTGCCGTGAGGGCGGATGGCCAGGAGGTAGTGGGCCTGCGAGGAGGGCTGACCTCCCAAGGACAAGCGTTCTCTTTTCAGGCAAAGTGGACAGAGAGACTGGGAGGCTGCAGGACTGGGGGAGGGAACGGCACCTGCAAATCTGTCAAAGCCTGAGGTGTCTTAATGGCGGCCCCTCTTCTGTCCTGCTGGTCCTTGGGAATGAGGAGTTGGGAGTGCCAGGGAGCAGCTGCAGCTTACAGTTGCCTGTGGATGTGACGCGGCCAGCAGGCCTCATGGTCCTGGGCCTGCTTTGTACCTCCCTTGCTCGGAGGCGTGTCTCTGGTCTGCTATGGTTTATGTGGGAGCCTGTGCCCTGGATCATACTGTCAGCCATCCGATACCGGTCCAGCTGAAGCCCTGCTGCCGGGAAAGGCAAACACTCACACACAGAATGTGTGTCTGCTCTTGTCCAGGTGAATCACTGGCCTTCCAGGCTGGAAGGGGCCCAATGTAGTCAGCTTGCCAGCAGGGAGTTTGTTGGTCTCCTCAAGGACTGGTGCCATGTTAGGGGCTCAGCATTGGTCCTTGCAGCAGCATTGGCAGGTGGGAGTTGTGCCTTTTGTCACCGTCCCTGCCTCTGGCCCCGTGTGTGCTCATTGTCCTTGTGTGGGAGTGGCTGAGAGCAGAGTCTGTCTGCATTCTGGATCAATCCATCTGTTAACCAAGCTTGGGCTTTTTCCTTTTTCATCTCTGGTCATCAGGGATCCCTGTGCAGCTGTAGAGAGCAGCTGAGTGGGCTGCTCGTTGCCATGTGGCAGCTGGCATGGGGGTGGGGGGGCTTTAGGTCCTGCAGGGGCACGTCATAGCCTTTAAAAATTCTTTTAAATTAAAATTGTTTATGTTTAAGGTGTTCCATGTGATGTTTTAATTTCCATAGTGAACTGATAACGCAGTGGAGCTAATTAACATTGTCTGTTCCTGTGGGTACCTTTGTGTTTCTGTGTGTGTGTGTGTGTGTTCAGAGTATTCAAGGTACACTCAGCAAATATCAAGTCTATGATATGTTGTTAACTATAGTCTCCATGCCGTTTCTCAGATCCCAAGAGCTTACTCATCTTGTAACTGACCCTTTGTACCCATGACCAACATCTCCGTTTCCCCCACCCTCCAGCCCCTGGCAGCTACCATTCTGCTCTCTGCTTCTATGAGTTCTGCTTTCTTAGATTCCACATATAAAGTGTGATCAAGCAGTATTTTTCTTTCTGTATCTGGCTTATTTCACTTAGCATAATGTCTTTCAGGTTCATCTATGTTGTTGAGAATGATACGGTTTTCTTTTTCTTTTTCTTTTCTAAGGCTGGATAATATTCCATGATGTGTATATCACAATTCCTTTATCCAGCTGTCCATCAGTGGACACTTAGGTTGCTTCCATATCTTGGCTATTATGAATAATGCTGCAGTGAACATGGGAGTGCAGGTATCTCTTGGAGATACTGATTTCATTTCCTTTGGGTTTGTACTAGAAGAGTTATAGAAGGGTTATATGGTAATTCTATTTTTAACTTTTTGAGAAACCTCTGTGCTGTTTTCCATAACAGCTATATTAATTTATATCCCCACCAACAGTGTGTAATGGTTCCCTTTTCTCCACATCCTTGCCAACACTTGTTATCTCTTGTCTCTTTTATAATAGCTATCCTGGCAGGTGTGAAGTGGTATCTCATTGTGGTTTTGATGTGCATTTCCCTGCTAATTAGTGATGTTGAGCAACTTTTCATGTGCCTATTGACCATCTGTATGTCTTCTTTGGAAGAAGGTCTGTTTAAGACCATTGCTCATTTTTCAGTCAGGTTGTTTGCTCTTTTGCTGTTGAGTTGCATGAGTTTCTCATACATACACGGTTCACAAGTGTTCTCTCCCAATCCATGGGCTGCCTTTTCATTTTGTTGATCATTCCTTTGCTGTGCAACAGCTTTTTAGTTTGATGTAGTCTCACCTGCTTATTTTTGCTTCTGTTACCTGAGCTTTTGGTGTGGTAATCAAAAAATCATTGCCAAGACCAATGTCAAGGAGCTTGTTCCTTATGTTTTCTCCAAAGAGTTTAATGGTTCCAGGTCTTACGTTTAAGTCTTCAATCCATTTTGAGTTGATTTTTGTATATAGTGTGAGATACAGGTTCAGTTTCATTCTTCCGCATGTGGATATCCAGTTTTCTCAGCACTGCTGAAGAGACTGTCCTTTCCCCAGTGTGTTCTTGGTGCCTTTGTCAAAGATTAGTTGACTATATATGTGTGAGGTTTTTCCTGGGCTCCCTATTCTGATTCATTGGTCTGTGTGTCTTATTTTAATGTCAGTACCATGCTGTTTTAATTACTATAGCTTTGTAGTATAATCTCAAATCGGGAAGTGTGATGCCTTCAGCTTTGTTCTTCTTTCTCAAGATTGCTTTGGCTATTTGGGGTCTTTTGTGTTTCCATACCAAATTTTAGGATTCTTTTTTTTCTATTTGTGTGAGAAATGACATTAGAATTTTGATAGAGATTTACAGTGATAGAGATTTGATAGAGATTTGTAGATTGCTTTGGATAGTATGATCATTTTAACAATATTAATCCATCCACTCTGTGAGCATGGGATGTGTTTCTATTTTCTTGTGTCCTCTTCAATTTCTTTCATAAATGTTCTGTCTTTTTCAATGTTATAGATATTTCACATCCTTGGTTAAATTCATTCTTAAATATTTTGTTCTTTTTGGTGCAATCATAAATGGTATGGTTTTCTTGATTTCTTTTTCATATAGTTGACTGTTAATGTATAGAAATGCTGCTTATTTTTATATATTGATTTTATATTCTGCAACCTTTCTGAATTTATTAATTCTAATATATTTTTTAAATGGAGTCTTTGGGTTTACTATGTATAGGACCATACATCTGCAGAGATAATTTTACTTCTTCCTTTCCAATTTGGATGCCTTTTTTTTTTTTTTTTCTTTTTCTTACCTAATTGTCCTAATTGACCAGAACTTCCAGTACTATGTTGAGTAAAAGTGGTGAGAGTGGGCATCTTTGCCTTGTACCAGATCTTAGAGGAAAAGCTTACAGTTTTTTACCAGTGATTATGATGTTAGCAGCGGTCTTTTTATAAATGGCCCTTATTGTTTTGAGGTAAGTTCCTTCTGTACCTATTTTATGTAGAGTTTTAAAAATCATGTGTGGATGTAGAACTTTATCGAGTACTTTTTCTGCATACTTTTGAGAAGATCATGTGGTTTTTATCTTTTATTCTGTTGATGTCATATTCCACAGTGATTTGCATGTGTTGAACCAGGGATGAGTCTCACATGATCATTGTGCAGAATCTTTTTGATGTACTGTTGAATTCGGTTTGCTAGTATTTTATTGAGGATTTTTGCATTTATGTTCATCAGAAATATTGGATGGTTTTCTTTTTTTGTTGTGTCTTTTTCTTGCTTTGGTATCAGTGTGATGCTGCCTTCATAAAGTAAGTTTGGAAGTGTCCCCTCTTTTATTTTTTGGAGGAGTTTAAGAAGGATTGTTATTAATTCTTCAAATGTTTGTTAGAATTCACCCACAAAGCTAGCTGTTCCGAAGCTTTTCTTTATTGGGAAAATTTTGATTACTACTTCAGTCTCCTTATTTGTTATTGGTTTGTGTAGGCTTTCTATTTCTTCTTCATTCAGTCTTGGTAGGTTGCATAGTTGCATGTTTCCAGGAATTTACCCATTTCTTCTGAGTTATCCAATTTGTTGGCATATAAGTGTTCGTAATAGTTCCTATGATCACTTTTATTTCTGAGGCATCTGAAATGTACACCTCTAATTTTACTTATTTAAGTCTTCTCTCTTTTGTCCTTAGTTAAGTCTAGCTAAAGGTTTGTTAATTTTATCTCTTCAAAAAACTAGCTTAGTTTCTTTGATTTTTTTTCTATTGTTTTTCTATTCCCTGTTTAATCTATTTCTGCTCTTATTTTTATTATTTTCTTCCTTTGCTAACTTTGACCTTAGTTTGTTCTTTCTTTTTTGGTTCCTTGAGGTGTGAAGTTAGTTTGCTGATTTGAGGTCTCTCTTCTTTGTTAATGTAGGTGCTTATCACTATAAACCTCCCTCTCAGTAATTACTGCTTTTGCTGTATCCCAGAAATGTTGGTATGTTGTGTTTTCATTTTTGTTCATCTTGAGATTTTTTTAAAATTCCCTTTTGATTTCCGTTTTGACTCTGTGGTTGTTTAAGAGTGTGTTCTTTAGTTTCCACATATTTGTGAATTTTCCTGTTTTCTTGCTATTACTGTTCTCTAGTTTTGTTCCATTGTGGTTAGAAAACATACTCGGTGCATTTTTCTCTTGGTCCTGGTGGTCTCAGGAGGCAGTACACTTAATCTCTGCCAGGAGTCCCTCAGGGAGCAGTGCCACACAAAGCCCTGCCAAGAGAGTGCAGCAAGGTGAGTTGCTCAAGGCATACCTTGAGCTAGGGGCTGCTGCCTGGGGAGGTGGTCAACCAGAGACCAGACACAAAGTTCTGGGGCTTAGTGCATGCACTAAGCAACTTTACTGGGTAAAGGCATGTCTTATATATGTTTTAGCCAGCTGTAAACCCCTCCCATACCTCCCTGTCTCCTACGTAACTCAAGAGGAAGTCTGTGGTTTGTGGTTAAGCTTTTCAAATTTTTGCTGACCCAGTCTCTTTTTGCATTTCTGCTGACAGTCTAAATCCTGGAGAGCAAGAGTGCCTCCATCTTTAACAGGTGTTCTCCTTCATTTTCCTCCAACTTGGTATGATTTTAATCTTCTTAAATTTTAGACCTGCTTTGTGGCCTAACACATGACCTATCTTGGAGAATGGTCCATGTGTACATAAGAAGAATGTTGTTTTAGTCCATTTTGTGTTGCTATAACAGAATACCCAAGACTGGGTGATTTATAAAGAAGAGAGGTTTATTTGGCTTACGATTCTGGGACAGCTGCATCTGGCATCGGCCTCAGACTGCTTCTACTCATGGCGGAAAGTGGCGGGCAGATGGCGGGTACAAGCAGATCACATCGTGAGAGGAAGCAAGAGAGAGAGAGGAGGTGCCAGGGTCCTTTAAACAATCAGGTCTCACGGGAACTAATAGAGCGAGAACTCACTACCCCTCCTCCCCCAGGGAGAGCATTAATTTGTTCATGAGGGATCCGCCCCCATGACTCAATCAGTTTCCAACACTGCCACATTGGAGATCAAATTCCCACGAGTTTTGGAGGGGACAACACATCCAAACTCCATCACTGTCTATTTCTCCTTTCAGATCTGTCAATATTGCTTTATATAATTAGGTCTGATGTTGGATGCATATATTTTTACAATTGTTGTACCTTCCTATTTGAATTGACCCTTTTATCATTACATAATGACCTTCTTTGTCTCTAGAGAGTTTTTGACCTAAAGTCTATTTTTTGTCTGGTGTAAGTATAGCCATTCTTGCTTTCTTTTGGTTTCCATTTGAAAAACATGGAATATGTTTTTCCATCTCTTCACTTTCAGTATTACATGTGTCCTTCAGTCTACAGTGAGTTTCTTTATAGACAGTGTTAGTTGGGTTTTGGTTTTTAATCCATTCATCCACTCTGTATCTTTTGATTGGTGTTTGTTTACATTTGAAGTAATTATTGATAGAGAACTATTTGCCTATTGCTATTTTGTTAACTGTTTTCTGTTTGTGTTATTTTGTTCCTCTTTTTCTCTTGTTGTCTTCATTTGTGTTTTCTTGTTTTTTGTATTGATATTCTTTGTTTTCTTTCTCTTTTTCTTTTATGGAACTTCTATATAGGTATTTTCTTTGTGTTTATTGGGGCTTACATAAGATATCTTGTAGCAGTCTGTTTTAAACTGATAGCAACTTACCTTCACTTGCATGCAAGAACAATCAGCTTTTACATTCCCCCCCTTCATATTATGTACTATCGATGTCACAATTTACAACTATTTATATTATGTAGTCATTAACATAATATACTTATAATAATTATTTTTCATTCTTTTGTCTTCTAACTTTTATAATTGGATTAAAAGCAATTTACCCACCGCTGTTATAGTAATACAGTATTCTGTTTTTGTATATATATTTGCTTTTACCAATGGGTTTCATACTTTCTACATCTTTGTGTTGCTGTTTAGTGTCCTCCTGTTTCAAGTTTCAACTTGAAGAATTCCCTTTAGCATTTTTTGTAAGGCAGGTCTAGTGGTGATGAATTCCCTCAGCTTTTGTTTGTCTGAGAAAGTCCTATCTCCCCTTCATTTTTGAAGGATGGCTTTGCTGGGTATAGTATTCTTGGTTGACTTTTTCTTTTTCTTTCAGCACTTTCAGGCCCTTCTTCTGGCCCTCAGGTTTCTGTTGAGAAATCCACTGATAGTCCAATGGGGGTTCCCTTGTATGGGATGAGTCACTTTTCTCTTGCTGCTTTCAAAATTCTCTTTGTGTTTGACTTTTGACAATTTGATTATAAGTGTCTTTGGGGGGGCATATGTCATCTTGAGAGAGGGTTCTCTGCATTGTCCCAAAGCACAGGGCAGCTGGCTCTTAACAGAGAGGGGTGCCCTCTTCTGCAGGCTCAGAGAGTTCCAGGGAATCTGAGAATTTGAAGGCCCAGAAGTCCATATCCCGTGTGTCATAGTCTCGTTCCTTCCCATCCAGGGCCTGACCTTGGTATAGCAGCCTTCATAGGTTGGGGGTTTTGCCTCCTAGGGAGCCATTCAGTCCTGGGCCTGGCTTCTGTCTGCAGTAGAGTGTAGCTTCGTACCCTCAGCTTTCATTCCTAGCTTTTGGTTTCCGGTTGCAGTCTCACAACCTTCCTTATCTTTTTCTTGGAGCTTTGGTGGAGCTTGGTGCAGCATTCACCCCATTGTCCCCATGTCAGCTAGTATGTTCCCTCCCATGGGTCCCCACTGGTGGGTCCTCATTGCCATCTGGGCAGGGAGGGTACCCAGCTCCAAAGCCCGTCTCTCACCTTGAGCTGCTCCTGACACCACCAGCTGCAGGTGAGTTCTCTGGGAAGCAGCCTTGGGAACAGTCACTGGTCAGGGCTGGGCCTCTGGGAGGGAGGTGGACAAGCAGGTGTGGGCTGGTGCGGGTGAAGCTGCATGCTAGGCCGAGCACCTCAACTGGCCCCACAGGGGCTGGGGCTGAAGGGACCTGCCAAAGCGACCGCTTACACACTGGGCCCCAAGTGGGGCCTTTCTGACCTGCCTTCGCTCCTCATGAGCTGAGCCAAGCCAGGTGGCCTTTGCAGCTGCAGCAGCACATCTTCCTTGAGGAGGATGGGGCAGCGTGGCATCATATCCAACACCAAGTGGGATGGTAGGTGGAGCATGGGTTTGGAGCAGCCCCGGTGGAGGAGTTGCAGGGCAGGTGCTGGATGCTGCTTATAAGATAGGACCCAGCAGCTGGCTATGTTCTTTGTCAGTTCTTTTGTTCTGATCTGTGTCGAATCCTCTAAGTTTGGTATTTATTTTGGTATAATATTTGTAGTGCTTGTTATTACAGAGTACATTTGTTAAACCTGAAACCATTTTTTTCCCTGAGAAGTTTGGTTTCAAGTAAAAGTTATTTGAGTGCCTATATAAGCTGCAGGGTTTTTTCTCTATGCTTGTTAGTATTGCAACTGTAATATGAGTATTTCTGTAAAATTGCTATTTCTGCAGCTAAAACAGTGTTACACCAAAAAAGCAGTCGCCCTCCTGTACCTATCTCCAATGCAACCAAACGCAGTTTCATGGGCAGCCCTGCTGCAGTGAGCCCAGCCGACCTGCAGCCACCCGCCCAGCTGCCGGCTGAAGGCTGTCACAGGTACTACCTACACCCCGAAGAATCTGAATATCTGTAAGTCTGTCTTTCTCCTTTCAGAATTAATTCACCATTGTGTTTCCCTTTTTGTGTTAGTTTGAAATTCTAATTGAAGTTATTTTTTTTTTTAATAGATAATGCATAAAGTACAAAAGAGTAGCTTACAAAAGGTGGGATTGTCCTCCTACCCTGCCCCTCTGCCCACTCAGTCCCCTCCCCAGAAATTCACCATTGTGTTTCCCTTTTTGTGTTAGTTTGAAATTCTAATTGAAGTTATTTTTTTTTAATAGATAATGCAAAAAGTACAAAAGAGTAGCTTACAAAAGGTGGGATTGTCCTCCTACCCTGCCCCTCTGCCCACTCAGTCCCCTCCCCAGAAGCCAGGAACGATGCTAGCCTCTTATGTCCGCTAGCTTGAAATTCCGTAAAGGTTATGCATCCGCTTCTAACATTGTTTATGGAAAAGATATTTCTCTGTTATCTTTTCTGTAATATATTTTACTGTTTTAAAAATGATCTAAAGATTAGAAAAATTGAGTAGTTTAAATCTGCTTCGTATCATAGTCTGATGGAATATAAACAAGGAAGTGTTCTGCATTTCAAGTGAGTTCTTCACTCTTTGTGATTGATCATAAAGAGTATCAATTTGCTTCATTAACTTCAGTGAACAGTTAACTTGGTTTTCGTGAAAAAGTAAATAGACCTATTTAATGGCTGATATAAAAATAGTTGTTTAAAAAGTGTTTTTTTGAAAATGAATTTTTATCATTAAGACCTAATTTGGATAACCATATCCAGGGTGGGTTGACCGCTCCCAAAATTTAGGGAGAGGATGAAGGGATCTTCACTTGGAGTCAGTGTGACCTTCGTGCATAGGAGCCAAAGGGCCGGTGGCTTGTTCCAGCCCAGAGCAAGTCAGTGTCCCCAGGGACCTGCATGGGCAGAAGATACTTTTAAAATGGAAAGCCATTTTTAAAATGTGGAGATTGAATTGGGATTTAAGATTCAAACAGTATTCAAAAGTAATTGGAAATAATCCACATAAGTGAGTGGTTCAGTGAGACAGTGTGGCATAAACCAAACTCTGTGTTTCAGGTTGTTTGGCCAGAGATAAGAGGGGAGGGAGGAGTCGCTGAGGCTCTGGGTCTTGGGCGTGAGAAGCAGTGCAGGCAGTGCTTGTTGCTGAGGCGCTGGCCTTTTGGAGGGGGCATAGGCCTGAGGGTGGGGGGAGCTGAGTGAGGGAGGGGTTTGGACACATTCTGTATGCAGGAGCTTTAAGACCCAGCGCTCAAAGCAGAGGGGAAAGCTGTGCCTCTGAGCCCTGTGGGCACAGGTAGCCACTGAGCAGGGCGAGACCCTTGAGGCCAGTGCTGCACGTGTGGGTGCCCAGTGTGGACACTCAGCCTCCTTTCTCCTCTTTGCTTCTCCATCGTTAGATCCAAAATACGCAATGTGTATGTGTACACAGGAAGTTGAGTTTTGAACAAAATTGGTGTTGTGTACATTCTGTTCCTGATTTTTTCACCTGACAATATGTGGTGAAGATTCTCCCATTTGTTGAAAATTCTTCTGCTGCAAATCACCTTTCCGCCAGCGTGTAGGCTGGAGGTTTATGGCTTTTGCCCATGTACAGAGCCATGCACTGTTATGCCCCCACCCTCCTGCCTGGCTTCTCTGGGCTCCTGCATCCTTGACTGTCTCTCCCCCATGGTGCTTTCACTCACTGGCTTTCTTTCATTCTGACTCTGTGGTATTTTTCTCTTTGGGCTCTGGGTGACCTCTCCCTGTCTCTGCCTCTTTAGGCCCAGGCTGCCTGGCTTCTCTGGGCTCCTGCATCCTTGACTGTCTCTCCCCCATGGTGCTTTCACTCATTGGCTTTCTTTCATTCTGACTCTGTGGTATTTTTCTCTTTGGGCTCTGGGTGACCTCTCCCTGTCTCTGCCTCTTTAGGCCCAGACATGGTAGCTACAACCCAGGGTGTTGAGCTGTCCCCTGCAGTTCCCTCCACCCTACCCTCACCTTTGTGAGTTGTCCCTTTGCCAAATTCTCCCCAAAATGAAACAGCCAGAATCACTGCCATGCAGCGTGGGCATGTTTTCTGGGGTGGGGTGGAGCACTGGTGCCAGCAGGGTGGCAGGTGCTGCCCGGTATTTGTTCCATGTGTATCAACGTGTTAAAACAGCACCCAGCTTTGTGCGTGTGAGCAGCACCTTCTCTGCACACTCTTCATCAGGACCGAGTGTCTTCACACCTGTGCACTCTTTGTGCCTCTGGTCATTCTGTTTCTTAAGCCATGATCCAAGAAGAAGAAAAGGCGTGAATAACTCAAGAGCTTTTCACAGATGTTGCCATATCGGTCTCTAACAATTTACGTTTTTACACTCTTACCAGCTGTGTGGGAGCGTTCCTGCTGCTTTATGGTGGGTTCATGTTCAAATTCTCATCACCATGTCAGAGTTGTGGTTTAATACAGTGGGGTTTATCCTCGCGATTACTATTATGGTCTCCTTTGCGTTTGAAGTTCTCTGGTTTTTTGTGAACCAGTAGTATGCATTTTTGAAAATCATATTTTCAAATGATCACTTTTCCTGTTTCTCCTTTTGCTTATCTCAACAGATAATCCTAATTGCTTACTGGAATTTTGCTGTTAAAATTTTAAACTGGTTGTATTACAAATCAGAAACAGAAGTCACTCACTATGTCCTCTAATGCAGTTTTTAGATATTTATACCAAATATATGATGTTCTTGTACTGTTTTGGTTCATTTTTATAGTAATTAATTTTTCTCAACGAATCTGTGAGTTTCTCACACATTGGTGTGGATTTATGATGGTCTTTGTAGTTTCTTTTGCATTTGCTTTTCAACTTCAAGTGTGATAAACTGTTTACTCTTGAATTTTTTGTCCATCTAGTGGGAAAGGAACTTCTGCTTTTAGCCCGTCCCATCCTCTGTTGCCCCTGAGACAGAAACAGCAAAAAATGGCATCGGGAGAGGACATGCTTGGTGAGACGTCATTTTCCTCTCATCATCCCTTTCTTTAGTTTCTGCTCCCTGTGGTTTAGTAAGATAATGCTTCTGAGAATTCAGTAATCTATTCTGATGTCAGTTAAGAAGACTGTAGTGGAATAAATTTCAATGTGCATTGATTTACCTTAGAATTTATAGTCTTGTAGTGAAAATATCACCGAAGTCAAATTATACGTAGTATACACAAAATTGCTTCATTGTACCTGAACAAGGATGTATGTATATTGAGGTTCACTTGTAGTCAGGTTACCTTACTTCATGTTTGGACTGATTACTGTTGAGTCACACATTGCTTATCCTTGGAATTACTGAGAACTGTACTGTTGATTGTCTGTTCTCCTTGAGCAGCTTTGGTATACGGAATTATGATTCATTTTCTGGAGAAATGGTTATTGTGCTGAAAGAATTTCAAATGGTGTAAAGTTGGTTACTTAACACTGAGCACATTTATTACTTCCTCTGCTGCAGATCAGCGACATCGATCTCATTCTTTAACCCGTGTCGATGGTCAGCCACGAGGTGCAGCCCTAGCATGGCCAGAAAAGAAAACCAGGTGATCACTCCCTACATGTCAAAGATGCTTCTAGCAGCATTCTCAAGAAATGGTCCAGGGATGCCTCAGGAGCACCGAGACCCTTTTAGGGAGTTAATGAGGTCAAAATTATTTTCATAACAACGCTAAGATGTTAAATGCCTTTTCCCACCCTCATTCTCTTGTGAGCGTACCGTGGAATTTTCCAGAGGCTGTGTGATGTTTGGTATTGCAACAGGTAGAATCAAATATGAGGGTCTGGCCAGATATCAGAGGTTACGAATGTGTAAAGTGATGCCGCTCTTTACAGTATATGCTTTTGTGTTTTAGGAAATATAGTCATTTTCATGTGGTGGACTTATTACTGTGATTTTAAATCCATGTTTTAAAAATGTATGAGCTTTAACTTCTAGTATGATAAGGAGAGATTAATATTGATAAATATAATGAATAAAAGCTCTTTGGGGTCCTCAGTAATTTTTAAGGGTGTAAAGGGATCCTGGGACCAAAATGTTTGAGAGTCACTAAATTAAAATTACCTCTGATTTTCTTTTCCTCTGGGTGAGGGTTTGTTTAAGTCTCCGAATGTGAGCTTCATGTTCTCTTTTCATTGGTATTCTGGTCCCTCAGTCTGTGTTGAGTGTGGTATACCCAGTGGGTTTCTATCCCTGTGTTTCAGGCCTGTGTCCCAACCGACGCCCTTTGCGCTCCATCATGCTGTGAGTTGCGACATGGATCCCAGCTCTGGTGACACTGTCAGCTTGGCCCGCTCCATTAGCAAGGACAGCTTGGCATCCAACATCGTGAACCTAACCCCGCAGAACCAGCCACACCCTGCAGTCATAAAGACCAATGGGAAGAGCCTTCTGAACAATGTCAGTATTGAGGACGAGGAGGAAGAACTTGTGGCCATAATTAGAACAGAGATGGCTCCCCACCGTGGGGACCCGGACGTCCCAAGGGCCTCGCCTCGGGCCTTAGGCCTGATGGCAGGTGCCAGGTCTCCACAGAGGCAGGTGGACGTCTTAGAAAGCAAGCCTGACAGCTTTTTCTTGGAGCCCTTGATGCCGGCAGTGCTTAAGCCAGCAAAAGAGAAGCAGATTATTACTAAGGAAGATGAACTCGGAGAAGGGAGACCTAGGAGCATCACATCCAAGAGGTCCAGCGAGGGCCACCCACCCTTGGTACGAAAGAAAGTGACCAGCAGTCACAGTGGTCGTGACTTGAATAGGACTTTCACCCCTATTCCTTGCTCAGAATTTCCTACAAGCGTCGACCCCTTGCAGGCAGGGCTGCAGGCAGCAGAGGCTGTAGGAGAAGCTCATGGTGGGCCTCTGGCCATTGGTGGATTCGATCCGCTATCTCAGGGGCAGTCTGCTGATGGCTTCTTCCTTCACGTGGGCAGGGCCGATGAAGACTCAGAGGGAGGGTTATATGTTAGTTGCTCAAAAAGCCCCAACTGCCACGATTCAGAGCCATGGACTGTCCTGAGGCAGGATTCTGACTCTGACATTGTGGACGTAGAGGAGGCTGGGCATGACTTTCTTGGCGAGGACCGTCCAGTGGTCATCACTGCATGCATTGGTGAAGAAGAATCAGCCAAACTGCAGGAGGACATGAAGGTGAAGGAGCATGAGGACAAGGATGATGCCAGTGGCCGCTCCAGCCCGTGTCTGAGCACAGCCTCTCAGATCAGCAGTGTCTCCATGGCGAGCGGAAGTGTGAAGATGACCAGTTTCGCAGAAAGGAAGCTCCAGAGACTCAACAGCTGCGAGACCAAGTCCAGCAGCAGCAGCTCCCAGAAGACCACGCCAGATGCGTCAGAGAGCGGCCCAGCGCCTCTGACGACGTGGAGACAAAAGAGAGAGCAGAGCCCGGGCAGGCCTGGCAGAGACCCCGCCAGCCTGCTGGCATCCGAGCTGGTGCAGCTGCACATGCAGCTGGAGGAGAAGCGCAGAGCCATCGAGGCCCAGAAAAAGAAGATGGAGGCGCTGTCGGCACGGCAGCGCCTGACACTGGGCAAGGCCGCGTTTCTGCATGTGGTGAAGAAGGGCAAGGCTGGCACCGTTGCTCAGCCACTTAAACCAGAGCACTTTGCACGGGGGTGTTCTCAGCACGATGGAGAGGGCTTTGAGGATGGGGCTTCTAAAGCTGAGGAGCTGCTCATGAGGGGAGAGCAGGAAGGTCTACTCAATGAATCTCCAGGTGTGGACAGAGAAGGCCTGGCTTTTGTTCAGCAGCATAAACCAAAAGACCCTGCTGCTGTACATGATATGGAGAAAAATAAGGTGATTTCTGCTGTTCTCCTGGAAGATAACATTGGTGAGGTTGTAGATATGAATGAATGTGACCTTTCCATTGAGAAACTTAATGAAACCATTAGCACACTGCAGCAGGCTATCTTAAAGATCTCTCAGCAGCAAGAACAACTTCTTATGAAATCTCCTACAGTACAAACTCCATGTTCTAAAAATAACACACAGGACCAAAAAGTGAAAGCATCAATCCACTTTGTCGAGCCGCTCTCTCCAACCGGAGTGTCTGGTCACCGCAAACCCCCTCGTCTTGGTCAGGGTCGGAATTCTCGCTCAGGAAGACCAGCTGAGCTGAAGGTCCCAAAAGACAGGCAGCAGGGCTCTTCTCGAAGTAAAACCCCAACACCCAGTATAGAGACTCTCCCGCATTTGAGGTCCTTCCCCCCGAGTAACCACGCTCGGACGCCCTCCAGCCCAGGCGTGGAGAATGCTGCAGACCCTGGCAGTGACCCTCATGAAAGGTGTCTCTTCGACAGTTACAGGCTCCATGATGAAAGCAACCAGCGGACGTTCATTCTGTCTTCTTCCAAAGATGCAAACATCATATCAGAACAAATGAGCTTCCAAGAAGCTCTGGATACCAGTGGGAGAGAGGCAGGGCTGAGCTCCGCGGATACCCCAGGAAAAGAGAATGTCCATGTGGAAGAACGGCTCCGGAGCAAGGCCAGCCTCACTGAAGTGGACCTTGCAGACCTGAAGGCCTCCGAAGAGGATGGAGAGATGGCGAGCCTCGATGGCTCGACGGATCTTACCAGTGAAGGGGACCAGAAGCCTGGGGTTGGCTTCTTCTTCAAGGTAAAGGAATTGGCAGCACTTGTTTGAGGTGGGGTCTCTCACTCCATCTCCATTGCGAGGGCATTACAAAGGGCTGGAGGTCAGAGCAGGGAGGTAACGGGCGTGGCTGTGGAGGCCATGGGAGTCTCTCACCAGGACTCAGCTCTGCCAAGCGCAGCTGCCACAGTACGTATGCATGGGAATGAGCCTGGCTGTGTGCTGGTGAAGCACTTTCTTGTGGTCTCTGTAATTTGAATTTCATGTCATTTTCATGTATCCCAAAATATTTTTCTTTTGATGGTTTTTCAACCATTTAAAAATGTAGAAAATGTTGATAGCTTAAAGGCCCTACAAACACTGGTGGTGGCAGATGGCTGTGGCCCGTGTGCTGAGGTTGCTGACACTGGCACAGAGCCTGGACAGGTACAGAAACTCGAACAAACATTTTTGCTCCTCTCTATCTGTGCTATTCTTACAATCTTCTTCGTAGAAATGAAGAGAAACATGAACTGTGAGGACTTCTTTCATTTTAATAGCATCTGCTTTTCTTTCTAGCTGTTATGAAAGTGGACGGTGTAACACAGAACCACCACATTTATCTTATCAACAGATGCTTGCTTTATTTGGTGTTTGTACTTTTAAAATGTAAACAAATTAATAATCAACTTTAGTATCGGCTCATATTTTGGAAATAAGTGTGTGGTTTTTAAGGCAAACTGAATTCTGTGTGAGACAATTGGAAGTTTGGCCGACAATGAATGTCTTCTGAGTGGCATTTTTTTTGCATTTGTACTTTAGAGTCTACAAAGAAATGTCTGTTCATCAGTTTAAAAAAGACTAAAAATATCTTTGGTCTGTGCATGAAAATCTTCTAAGCGAATATTAAACTCTGCTGCTCGGGGAAACAAGTCCTGTATTGGCTTGTGCAGGGTGTTTCCCGTGATGGCACATGGGGTGTCTGTGTTGCAGGATGAACAGAAAGCAGAAGATGAACTCGCCAAGAAGCGGGCGGCCTTCCTCCTGAAGCAGCAGCGCAAGGCCGAGGAGGCGCGCATGCGGAAGCAGCAGCTGGAGGCCGAAGTTGAGCTCAAGCGGGATGAAGCCCGGTAGCCGGTTCTCCCGTGTGGCCCCCAGTCAGCCCTCATGTCCACTGTCCTCCCCATCATGCATGGTCCACAGGAGTGTGCATCGAGGGGTCTTGTGTCCCCATCACTTCGTTTAAGCACTTTGCAAGATGGTCTCATGTTCATACGAGCCCCATGGGCTATATGCGCTGCGTCCTGTTGGCAGCACTCAGGTGCTGCTGTGCAGTTTGGGAAGCGGGTTGCCTGTGGTCACAGCGCTCTTCAGCAAGGCTGAGTGTTATAACATGGGTGGATCGACTCCAGGGCCTGCTCCTCTCCTGTAGAAACTGGTCTACCCTCAGTCCCAGTGACCATCAGAGGGAATCCAAGGAAAGTGCCGGGTCGAGTGCTGGGCGAGTTGTGTGTTGGCTGTTGGAGGTGGCGTGTGGTAGATTTATTCTACAGAAGGGTCCCTTTTAACTCAGGATTATTTTGGACGTGTTTTTCTCTCAGGATGAAGCCCGGCGCAAAGCTGAAGAAGATCGGGTACGGAAAGAGGAGGAGAAGGCACGGCGAGAGCTCATCAAGCAGGAGTACTTGAGAAGGAAGCAGCAGCAGATGTTAGAAGAGCAAGGCCTCGGCAAGCCTAAATCCAAGCCCAAGAAGCCACGGCCAAAGTCAGTCCACCGAGAAGAGTCGTGTGGCGACTCAGCAACCAAGTGCTCCTCCACCCGTAAGCAGCCTCACCACGTGGCTCCTCATGTGTCGTCCCTCACACGTGCAAAGTTCTTGTCGCTTTAGAGGGCGGGCTCCCATCCTTCGTCACTTTTGGGTGTTCTCAAGAGCTGTGTGAGGTGGGAAGGGTGGGGATGATTGTCCCCATCTGAGAGATGAGAAAGTTGAGACCACTGCTCAGGCTCTGGGATGCTGGGATGCTTCCGGATGCAGAGAGGCTTCCCTGGGCCGGGGGATGACGGGGTGATGCAGCTGCAGATATCCGATGGCCAGGAGGCTGGGCTGCTGCCTGCTCCTCTCTCTTGCATCCTAGGGCAGGGCATCCATGTGGTTAGGGAACACATACGTGTCTGCTGGAATTTTTCATGGACCATCTGTTTCTTGTCTCTGGCAGCTGATAACTTGAGCCAGACTCAGTCTGGCTCCAGCCTGTCCTTGGCCTCGGCAGCAACGACAGAGCCTGAGAGCATTCACTCGGGAGGCACACCTTCTCAGCGGTAAGAGGGCCTGAGATGACTGCCAGTTGTGGGCCGGGTGATATTCAGAAGGGGAGAATGGAACTTCCAGATTCAAAACTGTTAGATGCTTTTGTGACCTTAATTTTGATATGCTATCACATTTACAGAACAGTTGCAGTAATTTCTCAAGGAATGCCTAAGTGCCCTCACTGAGTTTACCAGTTGGGTAAATTTCAGGACATTTGCCTCATCACCCTCTCTCCCCATGTACCTCCTGTCCTGTGCATACATGTGCGGTGTTTACTCATCTGAGTCAGGTGAAGAAGTGCAGCCCTGTATCCATAAATGCTTGCATGTATATTTCCCAGAACAAGGACTACAGTTATCAAACCAGCACTTGATCTGACCTGCAGTCCATGCTCAGGGGCCACCAGTTGTCCCAATAGCATCCCTGACAACTGAGTGTTTTTTCCTCAGTCCAGGATCCAGGTTGGCACCACACATCACATTGAAATGCTACGTCTCTTTGGTCTCCCTCAGCCCGGAGCTGTTGCTTAGCCTTTCTTTGTCTTTTCTGCCCTTGATGTGTGTGATAAGTTGTTTTGTAGTTATTTTGTAGGCTGCCTGCCAGTTTGGGCTTCCCCATGGTTAGACTGAGGCTGTGCACGTTTGCCTAGAGCAGCGCAGAAGTGAGTTGTTTTCTTCCTAAGCAGGTGCCAAAACTGGTCATGTCTACTTGGATTGTTTAAGGTGGCATTTGCTATGTTTTTCCAGTGATTATTAAAATTTTTCCTTTGCGATTAAAAAGTAATTTTTGAGGAGGTGCTGGGACCCATCAGGACATCACTTAACTTTTGCTCGAGGGCTTCAGTGACCTCTGCTGATCTCCTTGTTCCTGCTTCCTCTGCTGGAGTTGGTGGCTGCCTGCAGCAGCGAGGACTCTCTCTCCACCTGTGTGGCCCTCTATTTATGTATGTGTGTGTGTGCGTTGCCATGGCTCTGCTGACTGTGGGTCGTATTTTCCTGTCTATGTGTCTTGTGGCTTATCATTCTCTCCTGGGCAGTGTGGAAGATACTTCTAAGGAACTGTGGATTCTTTTTTTTTTTTTTTTTTTAATTTTATTTTGTCGATATACAATGTGGTTGATTATTGTGGCCCATTACCAAAACCTCCCTCCCTCCTCCTTCTCCTCCCTCCCACCCAACAATGTCCTTTCTGTTTGCTTGTCATATCAACTTCAAGGAACTGTAGTTGTTATG